CTATCCAGTCCTCTATCCTACTTTTTTGAGACAGGCTCACTGATCCCAGAGTTCACTGATTGGGCTAGGCTAACCAGCGAGTCCCTGGGACCTTCTAGTCTCCTCCTCCCCATTGCTTGGGTTACAGATGTAAGCCACTGCACCTGGCTTTTCTGTGGTGGCAGGGATCTGAAGTTAGGCCTTCAACGCTTGTGGAGCAAAGACTACTGACTGAGCCATTTTCCTGGCCCCTTCAGTTCTTTTCTTTTCATATATATGGTCTATTCTTTCAGTCTGAAAATCATTGGCCTAGTTTCAGAATATGAAAGCAAAACAGGGTTCAGGGAGCTATTTATCTCAATATGCTGTATCCTCTAAGGGAGCTCCTTAGGAGCCTGGACACCCCAGCATGTTTTACTCCTTCTGAACCAGCTTAAGAGTCACCCTCTGCACAACCACCAACAAGTTAATCAGATCTGACTCTTAGAAACTTAAACTTTTCAAAATCAAGCCACCCAAAATAATAAGGATTTGTCACTATTGGGAATGCCTATTCACTGAACAGCGATAACGGCAATTACTTAGCCAGGTTCCAGCCATTTCCAGGCATCCTCTTACATCACAATGGCCCATTGGTATTATACTTGTTCCCATTAGATAGATTAGGTCTGGGAGTGTGAGTAACTTATTTATGCAACACTGAAATTTGAACTCCAGCATATTAGAAACCCAAAACCAGGCTTTTCCCACTGTGGTGTTGCCTAGTGATAGGCAATGCATGGCGCTGGGTGGAAACTGCAGGCTATTCCAAGAGCTGGATGATAAGCTGGAAGCAGCTATGGGACTGAGCAGAATGAAGGCATAATAGAGTGAGAGAGATATGTCTGAGAAGATACGTACTGTGCTATGTAAAGAAATTGGCTGGCAATTCTGGAGAACAGGAAGACGTTTCTTTTTTAAGAAGACAAGGAGGTAGGGGCTGGGCCTGGGATACAGGTGAGTTGGTAGAGGGCTTGCCTAGCCAGTACAATGCTCTGGGTTTGATTTCCCAGCACCACATAAACTAGACATAGTGGCCACATCTGTAGCGTAGCACTTGGGATATGAAGGCAGGACGATCAGGAGTTCAAGGCCAGCCTCTGCTATATAAGATCCTGTCTCAAAATAAAACAGTGTTGGGGCTGGAGAGATGGCTCAGTGGTTAAGAGCACTGACTGCTCTTGCAGAGGATCTGGGTTCACCCACATAGTGGTCACGAACTGTCCTTAACTCCAGATCCAGGGAAATCCAAAGCCCTCTTCTGATCGCCGCGGCATTGCACGACACTGGTGCACTCACATACATGCAGGCAATACACTCATACACATAAAATAAAAATAATAAATAAAATATTTAAAAATAAATAAATAAATAAAACAGGGTCGGAGAGATGGCCCACTGGTTAAGAGTATATGACGGCTCTTGCAGAGGAACCAAGTTCAGTTTCTAGCACTCATGTCAGGCAGTCCACAGTTGCCTGTAACTCCAGCTCCAGGGGATCTGACACTGTCTTCTGGCCTCCAAGGGCACTGTGCTCATGTGGACATGGACATGGACACACACACACACACACATACACACACACACACGAATACAGATAATTTAAGATAAATCAGAAAAAAAAAAAAGAAGAGGCTAGGGGACATAGCTCAGTGGTAGAGTGTTTGCCTAGCATACATGAGGCCCTAGGCTAAAATTCTAGAACTAGAAAAAAAATTTTAAAGTTTAAAAATAAAGGCAGAAAGAATCGTACAGCGAAAAAGGTAAAACTTGGAATTAGAAGACATGAACTCTGGTTCCTGGTTATTACTTATTAGTGAGTGACTTTGGGTAAGTCTAGTTCCTCAAATTAAACAGATAATAATAATAACAATACCTCTACTCATCTTACAGGTTTACTGTGAGAATCAAGTGAGTGTACATGAAAATATTTGAGTGTGCTGGCCATCTTACACAAAATAGTATAATATACATCATCAGGGGTCCATTGCTGCCCAGCATGATGCAGTTGTCAGACTAAGCTCCATAGGATTGGTTGCTCTCATTCACATCCTCTCCCTTCTTTGTGATTCAATGCAAGTACTGATCCCAAAGACAACTACAAGTCCCAAGCCACCTTACAAGAATGAAAGGCTACTATGATTAAATTGTTAAAAGGCAAAGCAGCAGTTGAAAAAGTTCTCCCCCTGTCTTTGGGGGGGATCTCTTTCCTCCCCCAGTCTTTATTCTTCTGATTACTCAAGAATGGTGTCAAAGCATCTAATTAGCAATTCTTATCCAGGAAATAGGAGTCAGGATTAACCCAAACTACAGAGGACTCTAGTCAAGAGGGAGAAGAAAATCATACAACTAAGAAAAATCTAGCCAGCCTGGGAATACTGGCTAAAGCCTGTTCCACACCAGCTGAGACTACAAGGGAGGCCCAGGACTGTCTAAGAGAGACCCTCTCGAAACAACCAAAACCCATCAAAATCCTAGTTTAGGAGCTACCAGTTCAGAGCCTCATTTTCTGTACATTTGAATTATCAGATATTTAACAGATCTGTACATTACATTTTATTACTCCAACTCTTTTCCCTTTCCCACGCACTTTTATTCTGAGATGTAGAACTCGTTCAAAGTTATCTAAGTTATAAGATGGGCTTGGAAGCAATAGAGCCAAAGGCATTGCTGTTTTACCTAGGGTTAAATTGAAATTGCTACGGTAGACTGATTTTTCTTATATAACTTTGAGGATAGTGTTGGCGTCCTAGCAAATTTCTAAAACCACACACACTCCCTTCGTTGGGAGGATTTCTAGAACATGCTAAAGGCAGTTAGTGACAAAACCTAGATTTCCGTCAGCAGCTTTAATTAAAGTTAGCTTTTAGCCTGTGCCCTCGTCATGTGCCAAAGATTTAGATCTGGATTAGCAAATGCTAATCCACGTGTAAAGGCTCCGTTGGCTCCACACACGTAGCCCCGATTACCCTCTTTAAATGTATGTTTCGATTCCTCTGGTTATCCTTAATTAATTTCTGGAGCTGTGAACAAATTCCCATCCCAGGCGGCCTAACTTTTAAGCAGGTAACCGACCAAAGTCTGGTCCTGCACAGCAAGCTGTGGACACCCCCTCACCTCGGCTCCACTCGCAGGACTGGGCCTTTCTGCGCACAGTTCTCACACATTTTTGACTAACTTCAGGAAGACATAACAAAACCCCCAAAGGTGACTACTAATTTCAGGGCATTCTCAGATGACTTTTAAGCCAGGGGTGCATCTGCTGGGGTCAAGCACTATAACAGACCCCCAAATACGCCTGTGCGTGAGCGCGCGCTCGTGGGGTGGGGGGGCTTGTCTCCCCAGGATGCCTCCAGGGGCGCTGACAAGCCTGTGAAGTGGGAACTGGACTTCCCTGTACAGGGCCTCGGCGGGTGAGGAAGGCAGGGGGATGGGCAGGGGGCCATCAGGGGAGAAGTCTCCGGCCTTTCCACGTCTCTCAACACCAGCCCTCCCCCACTCGCCTCCTCCTCCTTGCAGAATCCTCAACTAGCCGGCGGGAGGGAGAGGGGCCCCGGGGGGGCTGGCCGGGGCCAGGCGGCTTGGCCTTAGTGGCCCGGTGGTCGGCAGTGGCGCGGAGGCGGAGGGGGCGGGGACGCTGCCGGACACCCCCCCAACCGCCCCCCCCCGCCCGGCCTGACCCCCAGGTGCATTGTCCGTTGGGGCCCACCCCCTTGTGTGCATTGTCCGTCGGGGCCCACCCCCTTGTCCCCGGGGTCGCAGTGTGTCCCTCCGCCGACCTCGCCGTGCCGGGGACCAGGGGCCAGATGTAGAAAGTAGTCCCCGGGCCAACCCTGCTGTCCACTGCGCCGCGCCCGCCCTCTGCAGCCTCCCTCCGCCCCCGGGCCGGACGCTCGTGGTCCCCTCGGCCTGGCGCTCGTCAGCCGGAGTCGGTGCGCCTGCTAGCCACGCCACGCCACGCCACGCCACGCCACGCGTGTTGCGGGTGCAGCGGGGACCTGCGATCGGCACGGCCCGGGAGCATGCCCGCGCAGCCCTGCTGAATGGCGCCTTCCTTGCGGCCGGGGATGCCGCCCCGCGCGTCCCCGCTGCTGCTGCCGCTGTTGCTGCTGCTCGGCTCTGTTCCAGGTGGGCGCGCTCCCCTCGGCGAGTGTGCCGCGGGCGTGCACGGGTGGGTGGGGAGCCGGGCCGGGGTGTGCAGGCTAGGAGGGCGGCGCTGGCCACCCGGTGCCTGCGGGATGAGCGCGAGGCCGAGCTCCCCGGGGCTGCAGGGCCGCTGTCCACTCGCGCCTTTGTCCGCTCTCCGGCCAGCCCCGGGGCTCCCGCTGCCGCACGTGGTTTTATTTATATTGTTTCCTGAGTGGCAGCCTCGCCGCGCAGGAGGCGGTTGCGTGCAGCTTGCAGGGTTTGCAGCCTGGTTCCCCCAGGTCTCCGGGTGCGTGAGATCGGAACCCAGGTCGGCACCTCTCATTCTTGCCCCCCCCCCCCCCAGCTGCTGATCCAGCGAGGAGATGGTCAGGTGGAACTGGAAAGAGAAAGGCCTGGAAAGTTGCGGGCGGTTGGTACCCCCGAGGGGCGGCAGAAAGGTGCCAGAATTGAACTTACTTCCCGCACCTAGGGGCCCGAGGTCCCTGCGAGGTCCCTGCAAACTCCGGCTTAGTCTTAACAACTTGCATGAACTTACTTTTCTCGATCTTGGTTTCTTCAAAGACAGAAAAGTGTGGCGTGAATAATATTGGTGGGAAGGAGAGGTGTAAAGGGGCATGAGTGATTGTATTTCTTTATAAATTGCAGCCCCTGGGGTTGTTCTTTCTTTTTCTTTCTTTTTCTTTCTTTCTCTCTCTCTCTCTCTCTCTCTCTCTCTCTCTCTCTCTCTCTCTCTCTCTTTCTTTCTTTCTTTCTTCTTTTTTTTTTTTTTCTGGAAGAGTTAGTTTCACTTAGCAAGAGAAAAGGATCAAAGTGAGATGCGGTAGAGAAACACAATGGACGTCTTCCGGAGTGGTGTGCGCGGGCGCTGCATGGGGCTGTGGGGTGGTTCCAATCCTATCGCCCTCGGCGCACATTAGGAGCGCTGGACCCTTAAGGTTTCCGAGGGTCTATCTTGATGAGACACAGAGAGACCATCCCTTGGCATTCGTAATCAGAGGTTCAAAATGACCAGGAGGACACAACCCCCACCAGGACCCCTAACTCTCATTGGCCCCATCAGTATGCAGGACTAGCCCGCTTTTGCTCTAAACGCGGCGGGGGGGGGAGGGGCGGGGGGGGACACAAATACTTTATTCTAGCGGAGACCAGGGGCTATGTGTGTGCTTGGATTTCCTCTGCTCTGATAAAAATGTGTATTGGTTGATTAAGCAATCTCCTATCCCTATTAGACAGTAAGGACCAATTAGTCACGCATTTTTTTCCCGACAGTTGGTAGCTCTAAAAAAGTGAAATAAAGGTTTCCTAATCCGATCACCCACTGAGTACAAGCAGCAAGAGTTACCAACTTTTCAAAGTCAATTGTTTGTCCTTTAAATACCTAGCTGGCTTGGCAGAAATTAAGTAAATGGATTTCTTTCAAGGAGAGGAGAAGTCCCCGCTGTAAAAGAGCAGATAGAAAAACGCAAACTTGTAATTTGTCACAAAAGATAAACGTACTTTTCCCAAAAGAGTCGGTTCCAAGGGTTCCAAAAACACTTCAAGAGACAAGGAAATAAACTTGCTTGTTCACAGAGTTGGAGTTTTGCTAATGATTTCTTGTAAAATTAGACTTTTACGACTTACCCTGTTCAAGATCTTTTTGACAAGCTTGTAAAAGTAGCAAACGGCTTGTGCTCATTCGTCTGATGATTTTGGATCCGTAGTAAGAAATTTGAGAACCAGATTCTTAGGGAGCGTAGAAGTTATTGAAATCTTCCCCATGCTTTTAGTGTGGAGATTGTAAAAGGCAGGCGACTTCTTTGACTTCCTCAAAAGGTTTGCTGGCTTATTAAGGTCTTAGGAAATTAACCAATGTGACTAGGGAAACTGTCTTCCAACTTGAATCTGAGTTTTACAATTGTGTGTTAAATGATTTTATACCTGAATTCTGCATATGCCTTCTCCTTTTCCCTTGCAGGAGTGTGGAGCTTTAACGAACTGTCTTTTATAAAAGAACCACAGGATGTGACTGTCATAAGGAAGGACCCGGTTCTTTTAGATTGCCAGGCTCATGGAGAGGTTCCTATTAAGGTCACATGGTTGAAAAATGGAGCAAAATTGTCTGAAAATAAACGGATCCAGGTTCTTTCCAATGCCTCTTTATACATCAGTGAGGTAGAAGGCAGACGGGGAGAGCAATCTGATGAAGGATTCTATCAGTGTTTGGCAGTGAACAAGTATGGGGCTGTACTGAGTCGGAAAGCTCATCTGACTTTGTCAAGTAAGTGTTTAAGTTCTTAACATTTTTCATGGTTAGACTTAGATGATTTTTTTTTACTTATGACTATAACGTTAAAATCATATATACCTTAGGAATTGGCAGGCACTACTGAAGGTATGCAAAGAAATCTGCAAAAAACATATTGTAAACTCCAGAATTCAGATTCAGCTTAGAACACCAAGTAACATAAAACCTGTTCAGGTGGCCGTATGTAAATTTCAAGCATTGCAAGCCATAAGAATTAAATAAAAAAGTTTGGCCAATGCAACCAAAGTTGTAAAAATTTTATCTCTTGGAAATCAATGAGTGGAAACAATCACAAATAAATCTTTCTGCTGTGGGGATGGCTCTAGAGTGCTAAATCTTTCTTACAGCCCAACCTTCCATTCCCCTAACTGCTCTTAGATACCCATGTTGCTTTTTAATTGTAAGAGAGGGCATTGGTCAGTAACTGCAAGCCTTTGAAGTATTCCCAGCCCTTTCCTGCTGAGGGGGAGGTTAAGGCCATTTCTATATTACACCTAATGGACTTAAACCAGATCTATTCTTTTTTTTCCCTCCAGTTGTCATAAAGTTTGCTGTCTAAGGATTTCCTTTATATACATCAACACCACCATCAGCAATCATCAGTCGTAAATGATTCGCTGGCTGGTGGTTGACCCGATAACTGTTAGGTATCATGATGGGCTTAGGACAGGTAGAGTCCTCCTTGAGGTCACCGCCTCTTCAGATGACCAAAGAGCACTTAAGATGCCAGCAAAGCTGTGTCTTTTTTAAGGTCTAGCTGTATGCTTTTATTAACCCACAGAAGATAGATTTTGCGCTATGTCTATGCACTGAGCATTTATAAAATGAACAACAGAAAGGGAGAGCTCTTGAGAAAAAGACAACACTTACTATCCAACGTCTGCACATTTGAAACTTTGGAGGATAGCTTCTGGAATTTCTCAGGGGACATGAACTGTGGCTCATGGCATGCTTCGGCTACCCTCATAGAAGTAAACCATGTAATTTGTGCAGTGATGAGGAATTGTGGAAAATAAATTGCAAGCAAAGATATATTTTTGAGTTATGGGAGAAAGAAGTTTCCACATCTAGCCCCACCCCGTCCCTGCCAAAAACAAGCATAACCCTGAAGATTTCTGATAAACTCTACCCCTCAGACCTGCTGTTTTCCTTTCGTCGTGGTCATTGGCTGCTAAGGTCTCTTTCACTGAGTGCTAGTGTTTCCGTATGGTACTACTTCAGGACAGTGTGCTTTCTGGGCTTGTGTTCTGTTCACTTGATTTTTGTCTAATTATAATCACTCTGGGCTTCTCATTTTTTGCCTTTTCAGATTGATGTACTGCAATTTAAAATATTTAAATTTATAGGTGATAGCCTAATTTTTTGGCTACTATTACATACAATTAGAAAGAGCCCCCCCATCACTCTTCTGATTTAATCATGTGAAAATATAAAAGTGAAAATAAAATGACTATTAATTTCAAAGAATGACCTTTTTAAAAAGGCAATTGTGGTATCAGTTTTTAAAAACATTTTTTACTGATGGGCATGGTAGCACATGCCTTTAATCCCAGCACTCGGGAAGCAGAGGCAGGCGGATCTCTGTGAGTTCAAGGCCAGCCTTTTCTACATAGTGAGTTCCAGGACATCTGGGGCTATAGGGAGGCCCTGTATCAAAAAAGACAAAAAATTTTTTTTAATTTATTATTTTTAATTTTATGAGTGTATTGCCTGCATGTGTGTAAGTGCACCCATGTCTTGCAATGCCTGCGGAGGTCAGAAGGCGTTGGGACATGGTGGCACACACCTATGATCCCAGCAATGGAGAGGCAGAAGCAGGCGGATCTGTGAGTTCAAGGCCAGCCTTTTCTACATAGTGAGTTCCAGGACATCTGGGGCTATAGGGAGGCCCTGTATCAAAAAAGACAAAAAATTTTTTTTAATTTATTATTTTTAATTTTATGAGTGTATTGCCTGCATGTGTGTAAGTGCACCCATGTCTTGCAATGCCTGCGGAGGTCAGAAGGCGTTGGATTCCTAGGAACTGGAGTTTCAGATGGTTGTTAGCTGCCATGTGGCTTCTGGGAATTGAACCTGGGTCCTGTGCAAGAGCAGTCAGTGCTCTTAACTGCTGAGCTGTCTCTCTAGTGCAGTACCATTATTTTTTTTTCATATCAAGGAACTGTAACTTATATTGCTTCTCTGGGGAGGGAGGCAGGTGGAAGGGAGTAGACAGGATGATGAAGCATTTTTTAGGAGCACAGATTTTTCCAGGGGCTCCTGAGACACGTTTGAAAACATGCAGAACCTTCTGATTTCATAAATAAAGCCTGAAATGTGTGTGATAGGATGAAGAATCAAATGTATGTTCGTACTAGGGGCTGGTTTGTGGCTCAATGTTTGGCATATGTAAGATTTGGGGTTCAGTTCTAAGCATCAAAACCCAAAACCAAACAAAAAACTCAACCAACCAAACAGAAAACTTTTAGTCTTTTGGGTATCTTCAGATTTTGTATCTTTAGAAATATTAATAATAATAATTACATGCCAATCACAAAGTATTGTGGTAAAGTGGTTTTGATATTATAAATAGCAAAGCTTTGTGCTGAGAATCAGGTGTGATGCTCACCTGTGATCCAGGATGTGGACATCTGAGGCAGGAGGATGGTGAGTTCCAGGTCAGCATGGCCTACATATCAAGACCCTGTCTTAGAAACATTTATTTATTTGTTGGGGGAGGGGGACATGCATGTGCACCACAGCTTGTGTGAGGGGGGTCAGAGGACAACTTGTCCATTCTTCCGTCATGTGGGTTCCAGGAATTGAACTTAGGATGTCAGACTTGGTGGTAAACTCCTTTACCCACTGAACTGTCTTACTGGCCCTCAGAAACAAAACTCTGCAGAGAAACCGCTTAGAATATCACTCTGCTGTTGTTGAATACCTGTCATCAGTTAGGGACTAAGGCTGTGTGCTCACCTTTAACCCCAAGAGAAAATCCAGCCACTATTGCTGATTTAAAACAAGAAATGCACAGTGGATTTAGACGTTTTTCCTTAGAAGCATGAAATTTCTTTGCAATCCTGAATTCACGCACTTAAGGTGGTGGAGACTCTTTCCTGTGTTCTGTGTGCAGATGTTCCTCGCAGTAAGCAGGAAGAGGCCAGTAAGGGGAACGTCTGTTGCTTTTTGTTTTTTGGAAGCTACTTCAGTGTTATTGGTAACAGCAGGACCCAAGTAGATCCTTTTTATTTTCTTAGAGATTTTTTTTTAAGCAAACGTATCTTTAGTTCAGCAGGAAACTAAAACTTTACATTGTGCTACTTTTAGGTTTTTAACACTCAGGCGATGAGTCTTGGTTTCTGAACTTAGCAGCTAGAGGCAGAAAGTTGCACTCTAGGCCAGAATTCCATTATTCATGTGTAAATTAGGAATCCGCAGGGTTAAAAGGTTAGACACTGGCCAGGATGGGGTTTACCCTGTGATAAAGAGCAGATGACCCTCATTCATTGGCCCAGCTTTCATGTAGCTCTTCTGCAGCGTTGGTTATTGCCATTAATTGTTCTTGAGGAATGCAGAAATTCAAATGTGAGCTGGCCCTTCCTTAAGTGTCACTGTGCAGCCTTATCTCCAGGCCCATCAGAGCGCTGTGGGACCAGGTTCCTCTCCAAGGCCTGGAGGCCTGGCTTTCCTGTTTGTTGTTCATCCAAGCACAAAAGAATGTGTCTTAGTTTTGCTAAGACAACCCATTTTTAAAGGAAAACATAGGGTTAAAGTAATATTAAGCTTTTTTTTTTTTTTTAACAAAAGGAAAATGCTTTGTACTGATAGCCATTTTATTTTCGCTCCTTTGCATTTTCACATAATTAAAACAGGAGTGATGTGGGAGGCCACTCTTTCTAGATGAATGTAATAATAGCCAGAAAATTAAACTATCACCTACAGATTTAAATATTCTAAATTGTGGGACATCAAAATTTCACCTTCTTGGATGCTAAGTCTTCACTTTGTAAACAATTTAACTGAAATATTTTAGGGATATCTATCAGACAAGCTTCTGGTGTTCCTTAGTGTTCTTAAAGTAAGTAAGATGAATTTCATAGGAAAGCATTAATGTGGTAAAACCATCTCATATTTCAACAAGTTTAAATTGAGAGAAGAGATGTTTGAGAGAACTAAAGGAGGAGGGGTGTGTTCTGTGATGTGTAAAAGACGGCTGTAAGCGAGGGATTGAACAGGAAGCAGATTGTTTATTCCTTTCCGTAAAAGGTGGAAATTGAAGCCTTGAGATAGAGGGAAAGGGAGCCAATGCTGACCATATTTCTTGGGTTTTTCATGATTTTTAAATTTGTTCCCTAAAGTAAATTTTTTGAATCTTTGAAGCTGTAAGAGCAGAGGCATTATTGTAACTTCATAATGTTTTTCTTTCAAAAAAAATTAAGGTAAATTTTGGGTGTGCTGGAGAGATGCCTCAATGGTTAAGAACACTGGTTTTTCTTGCAGAAGACCTGGGTTTGCATCCCAGAACCCACATGGCAGCTAACAACTGTCTGTAACTCCAGTTCCAGGGGATTGGACAGCCTCTTCTGTCCTCCGAGGGCATTGCACCACACGGGTGCGCTTACCTACATGCAAGGCAATACATGCATGCACATAAAACTAAAAGAATAATAAAATATTTTTTTAAAAAGACTTGAATGTTTTTAGGGAATTTTTTAATTAGTATTCTTCATAAACT